TATATATATATATATATATATTTATTTATTTATTTATATGTAGAAAAAAAATACACGAATCAAAATTTTATCAAATGACATTGTTTTTGTGTATCCATGAATTGTGCAATTCATCGAATCTCAGTCACTTGACGTACACCTTATTTCTTTTCTGGCATATTTTCTCCATGAGATACACGTTCGGATGAGTAGCGCGATGCAACTCGTGCTCGTAGAACGTTCCAGCGACGGATTTTCCGCGATAGTCCTCGAGATAGGTTATGGGATTGGTACGCTGCACCTTAACGATTGTAAACACCTCAGTGGTCCAATTAGGCGCGTAATCCTTCTCAAAAATCATCTTGCTCACGCGTACCGAATCGCCCTTTAAATTTTGCGGACCAGCGATCTTTATCGCGCTATATACTGTGTCCAAGAGTCTTTCAGCGATCGCGTGAATTACGTCGGCGGATTGTATGCCGATGGTGCGATGCTTGTGCGCGTTATAATCTGACACGAGACGCAGCAGTTCGTTGATCCACTTGTAATTGTTGAGTGTAAACATCTTCCACATGTCGTTTTTGAGCGTGCGATTGAACCACTCGACTACTCTGACGCTTTTAACGTGGAATGATTAACGTCGTGTTTTTTCAAGATTTTCTGCATATCGGCGTAAAACTCCTTCTCCATATCCGTTTGTAAATTTTTCTTCTTCCACTCGCTCGAATTATCTCTCTAGCGATAGCGTCAGCCGTTTCGCTTCCACTCTTGCTCTTGAGTACTTGCGGTATCATGAATACTTGCTCAACCATCGATGATGGTGAGTATGTAGTGATGGCCTCTGTTGAAGCTCGAGTACGGACGCATCTCGACGATATTAGCCTGCCACAAATCGTCATATTCTCGAACTGTGACGCGCCTACGCGAAAAATTTTTTCTCGTCGGAGCGTGCAATTCCTCAATGAGTCGACGTCTCTCAGAATTAATTTTTCTCTTTTCGCTGGATCTCTTTTTCATGATTCAACGCGTACATAGAGCAAAAGTATTTTTTTCTCGTTGACATCACTCGACTGATTCGTTTCGATTTAATTTATAATAAGACCAGCTTCAAAGTTCCTCATCGATGATCGATATCATCTCATTATGAGCGCTCATTATTGTTGCTCGCTCAGTGCGAAGCGTCGAGCAATCGTAGACGATCCACTAGCTTGTTGGGATTGTCCTAATGCACGTAATCGGTCACATTGTTGTTCAATATCATTGCGTGAGGTAATCTCTTTCTAGATTTCTTCTTCTATTTCTTGTTCGATGGTCGATATCAACGCTACGATTACGTATTTATACTTATATTTCCTGTTGCTCGATTGTTGCTTGTGTTTGTATGCGTTGTATTCGTTGCCAGCAGCATGTACTTGTTCATATCTTCCGTGTAGAGATCGTCGAAAATTTTCTTGAAAATTAACTCATAAAGACAGGCGTATCGTATGCCGTTGATAATTATGTTGTCCGCATCCACGTCGATATGTTTATTGCCAAAAATCAATCCATCCTTGTGTGTAGGTAAATGCCGTATACATAATCTATATCGCTCTTTTGTTTATCTCGCGTTGCCCTCAGGACAGCCTCGACGTACTTTTGACCCAGCGGGCTTAAGCTGGCTTGCAATGCCTCTCGTCCTTCCGACGTTTGCAATCGATTTTTAATTTTCGTTGCTAGCGAGTTGTCTGTCGTTTCGAAAACGTCCTCCAATTCTATCATCGGTACGATCGTCTTACGCGGAGTGGAGGTTATTCTCGGCTGTACATGATCGTGCAATCGATCATCAGATTTACGCGGGGAACGTTCGAACGTCTCGCTCGCTTTCTCTCTCTCCTCCTCTTCCTCCTCTTTTCTCTCACGCTTGGAGGCAGACGCTGCGTCATCGTCGCGCGACTGTTTTTTATCGCACACACGGGGCTGTTAACAATCTGCCGCAAAGATTGATAATAGGCTTGATAATAGGCTTAAAATGTCTGTTCAATGCCATGTCCTTCTCGATTCTACCAATCCTCAGAGCGCGATGTTTCTTGCAGATCGATTCACTCATCTTCTCGATCTCCCTCGCGATTTTTTCACGCTCGCGCACATCAGCCATGTTCGTCTCTGCCAAAATATCGATTAGTCACGTTATAGTATCACGAATTCATGATACTAAATCTCTATATTTCCCGTCTTTAAGCGCACTGTCTTTGTCTATCACTAAAAAACCATATTTTTTTGCCAACAGTCGCGACACAACAAACAAAATTCATTGTACGACATGTCGGTATTCACGTAATCGTAAACGTGTTTCAAGTTGGTACAACCTGTTTGAACAGGCTCAGCAAGTTCGCGTTGTCGCGTATCAGATGTTTAGGTACTCTCGCGTACGTTTGACAGAGATAGAAGCAGTCATTCGCATGGCGGCCTATCGAAAAGTATTCTCTCGCATTCTACTTGTCACATCCTATTTGTCGCATGCCACGTCATCAAAGATAAAAATAGAATTTTGGCGTGCCTCGCTCGGTGGAACGATCGCTGTTGTTGGAGAACATAAAGCCGATTTCGTCAGTAGACGTAAATAAATTTTCGAGTAATAATAAATCGATACTTTGGCTATTGCAGCGATTTCGAGTAGACGTTCACATTCTCGAATCGTACGCCATTGGACTCTCGAGCAAACTTATGAAAACGTTGATTTTATCACAATTCGACGGGCCGCAAATGATCACGTGTATAGCACTCGACAGTTTTCGCCGTGCTTGCGCTTCTCCGCGCTGTCTTCCATCATTCGTGATTTCACGTCACAGTTTGTGACGTGTATTGTTAGCGGTTGCAGCATGAATTTCATATTCACACTAAAGGCTATATTTCATATTCACACTAAAGCTATATCTCGAATAACTATTTAAAGGCACGAATCCGCGAATCGCGCAGTAGCAAAATATATAGTATCTCGCGCTATATCATCCTTCCCATATTCGAGACTTGAGCGCCGAACAGTTGCAATATATACCGAAGATCGTACTCTTATGCGTGTACGATGACTACATTGAATATTACGTCTGGGACAAGCTCCATGTGAAAGTAGATTCGGAAGTTCGAACCTATCGTCGCTGCGACGAGCACTATAATCAGTCGTGGCAGTGGACATCGGGTTGAATAAATTATATTATTCATATTATTTGCTTGAAAAAGTTGAAGAATCATTGGATCAAGTGTATTGAGCTGAAAGGAGACTATATTGAGAAATAAAAATTAATCGAATCAAAAAAAATATGTTTTATTATATTTTTCTAAAAACTTATTGACTTGCCCTCGTACTAACTTCGCAAGACCTGAAATTTTCTTCAGTTTCCTCTAATCTTAATTCTCACTGAATCAGTGCTACCTTGTAACATAATAGGCAACCTATCATGAATTGGCGTTTCTTTGCGAATCTCTATCTCTTTCAGAAACAGGAATAGAAGTCTTTCGTGTCAAGTGTCTTATTTTCGTAAAACACTACATTTCTACTTTTAAATACTTTTTGAGTACTTTCGTACAGCCTGTAGTCTTCTGTATTTTCTAATATTCAAGAAAAATGTACAGTTTTGCCTTTTCGTCCCGTTTTCTTTTTTCTTCGTTGCTCCTTTGGAATATGTGCAAAAATCTTGCAACCAAAAACTTTTAAATGAGATAAAACAGGTTTTTTTCTCGACCAAATTTCATAAGGAGTTTTATATCGCAAACTTTTTGCTAAGGATCGATTTATTAAGTAAACGGCCGTCGCGCACGCCTCAGTCCAAAATTTCTTAGGGAGATCGGCAAACAACGTCCCGAACTATCGTTCGATTGTAACGCTCCGCCAGTCTATTTTGTTGGGGCGTACAAGAAACTGTCAATTGATGCTGCATACCTTCTTTTTGAAGAAAACATTTAAATTCTTGACTAATAAATTCTCGCTCGTTATCTGTTACGCAACGCTTTAACGTGACGATCCATTTGATTTTCTACATAAGCTTTGTATATCTTGAATACATCTAAGGCTTCATTTTTATTCTTCAGAAATATATACTTAAATGTCTTCAGTAATCATCTATAATCATATAAAGAGTATGAAGTATTTTGAACCTCCAATTAATGTTCCATCGGTTCACACACAGATATTGGCGTGTATCAGCTCTACAATCTAGTCCTCAGCTCCTTTTTTGTTTTCGGAAACGCTTGATGTGCTTGCTTACCTCGAACACAAATTTCGCATTTGTGGCCTATCTGGATCATTGAAATCTAGATCTATTGTATGCTCGTCACAAAGCAATTTCATGCTGCCTATTAAGAGATATATCCAAGTTTTCTATGCCATTGAAAACTCTCGATGTTAATCTCGCATTTGAACGCAGTGTCAACTGTTTGCATCAATTTATAAATATTATTGACCGATTTAGCTATTGCGTCATTGTTTTTATTGAATACTTCACAAACATGTTTATTAAATTTGACGTTAAAGCCTCTTTCAGTTATCTTGTCGATTAATGCTCAAATTCGGAACATAAACTACGTCTTTTATGATAATATTACTGATTTTACCATACGTTAATACCGACACTGTCACTTCACCTTTACCTTCGGTTCGCAATTTAGTATTGTCTGTTACCGCAATTTCTATTTCATCGAATTTGACAAAAGAATTGAAAAATTTCTTATTCGGCGTCATATGTACAGAGGCTCCGGAATCTAAAATCCAACCTCCATTTTTAATTTCTTTACTAAGAAATGCTACCTTAGTGTCATTGCTCTCGATCTTCTTCTTATCTCGCTTTCGTTTCGGTTGCTTTTTTTCTTTGTCTTCTTTTCTTTTTTCGCTGCACTCGTTCGCCATGTGTCCGAAACAATTCTTTGAAACGTGTCGCAATTTCCCGCACGTGACCATCCATTTCTGTTTCAATCTGAAATTTTTTGCATTTTTCGCATATCGCTTTGTGTAATTGAATTATTGTCGCTCGAACGTTTTGGTCTATCGAAATTACTCGACTCTTGCAGCAGTTTGATTTTAACAGATTTAACAATCGGCAATCGCCATGCCAGAATTCTTAAGCGCCATGATCATTGGCTGAAAATGCTTCGGAAGGCCGGCCAATAGTACCGTCCTGAGCCATTCTTGATTGATTTCAAATCTTGTATCTATGAGCTGACGCGGCAGACATTATTTCATTGACATATTTCTTCATAGATTTGCAGCCTTCCAGTTTTGTCGTAGTTATTTTACGCAGCAGTTCGACTTTTTGCGGGTAAGGCCGTTGTCTTCGAATGCCAACGTTAGATTGCCTCACGCGTCCTTTGCCGTTGCTCATGCATTTGCCACATACAGGGATTCTTCGACGCTTAATATGATTTTTACTTTTGCTCTTGCGATTTTGTTCGCAAGTCAAATCAGTCTCCGTACTAAGCACAGTCGTCCATAGTCCTTCCATAGTGAACAAATTTCAATTGCTACTTTCCAGGTTGTGTAATTTTCTCTTCCACGCAATTTTGCAACGGAGAGGAAATGACTGCTGTTGTTCTCGGCCATTATAA